CCAAATCAAAAGAAAATTATTTCAAAATAAGAAAAGATATACTCCGTATAATATTTTATCAATTTTTTGAAGATAGAGTTTAAAATATACACATCCACCAATATGTTTTAAGGAACTTCTACCTTGTTTAACCACATGAATCTTAAAGGAACAAAAAGAATGCTTTTTGAATTATAATTTTTGTCTATTGATGTCCGTGAGTCACAAGAAGTTTTCTTAATATTACAATAGTAGGCATGCGATTATTTATTTTTATAATAATATTATATTGCTAATTCATATAGATGGTGCATATAATATTTGTATAAATACTAAATAGGTTAAACTTTATTATATATGCAATAAATTGTTTTTAGAAGGTAAGAAGTAAATGAACTGTATAATTTAATGTCAAAAAACATTTTTATATTTTGGATATGATTTGCATCACATGATCTAAAAAAATTGTTTAACGAATGTGTCTGATATTTAATATTATTTGATATCTTACAAAATTGAGTACTAATTGTCTAATAAAGACAATTAAATATTAAAAAATGGAAATTTTATATAATAAGTATCCTAAGTCTTTGTGCTTTAGCACATCGGATAGATTGTGTACATCTGACTCCCCTTACCCAAAGCGCAGGTGGGAGCCTTTACAACGCTGAGATAGTGTTGTTGTTGAAGTATCCTAAGTCTTACACAATGTGTTTTTCTATTATTAATTTGTTTAAGTAATGATAAATTGTTTTAGATGTTTTTATGTTAAATAAATTATTGTGTAAGACTATATATTAATTTTGAAAGCTAAAATTTAAGGGGGCGAACACATATGTCTAATTAGAGATTTTTTTCGAATTAATGTTAATTAATTAATTAATTACGAAAATAATGTTGGAAAAAAAGTATTTACCGATCTACTGCTGGCGTTAACCATGGTCAGAGGTAAGTCGTCCAACGGTTGGGCGACTTATAAGTTTGATAGAATACAAGCTCATCATATTGATGACTTGTTCTTTGTTGTCAAACTGTTGACCGACCTCAAACTCACCATCGGGGGTAAACCTTTTCTCACCTGATCCACTCATCCACGCATCAGTAAAGCCTTCAGGGAGATCATACATTCTACTACTATTCTAGTAAAGTGGCTAGACGGGGCAGTTGCTGTGACAGTATCACCATCATCTTCATCAGATTCTGTCATGTCATCACCATTGATGTTCTCGTCAGCATCACCATCACATCCCTGCCCATCCACAAATGATGCACCGTTGTGCAAATACCTACCATCTTCCTGTATAACCATGTCCAGTACAGGAGCCTTTGAGGAGTTCCCTGCATTCACCCCTGCATTGACATCATGCGTAGATACAACAACATTTGATGTTGATTGATTACCATAAGCGTCACATGATTCCTCAATGTATATCTCCAGCGTCGACATATCCTCCATCTAAATTACGCCCCACATATTTGTTATAACTAGCTCATCAATGAGGGGCATAAGCATGTACTTTCCCCCGTTCATGGGAAATTTCATTTTCAACCGCAAAGAACGGCTAGGATGAATCATTGTGGCTGCGTGTATTTTTTGAAGGATCTCGAGCATGCAAGCGCCACGAGAAACCATGACAAAGCTGGTTCTACCACCTTCATGGCATATTTGCCCAGCATCCTCATAATAGTTCCCTCCCCAATGACACACGATTGGAAAGCTTGAGAAATTCATATTCTAATAACAATTCATTGTCCAACATTCATGAGTAGGCATCAATATACACTTTATACACATTCAAATTTTCAATAGAAAAAGCTACCAAAATTGTAATATATCCAAAAGTCAAAATTCACAAACAATTCACATTTCAATATGAAACTACCCAAGTTTTGATATCTACTTTCAAGTCTACCTTTCAATACCCAAATTTAGCTACATTCAAGTCTACCCAAATGCCCAAATGTCAAAATACACATTAAAATTTACAATCAATTTAAAATCAAATTTCAACATTTCATACATATCCACATTTCACAACAACTGAATTCACAATCAATTCATAATCCAAAAATTCGAAAATTTTAACATTCAAAACCCTAAGTTCAAAATGAGATGAAATGGAGTTTGATTTACCTAGAAGAAAGAAGAAAGAGTGTTGAAGATGAAGATGGAGGTTCGCCGAAATGGGGTCGCCAGATATCGAGTTTCGCCGGACTTGGAGATGGCTCTCGTCGTTCGTCGCTCGTCCTTCTTCGTTCGTCGCTGCAGGTAAAATCGATTTGGGGCTTTTGGTTTATGCGTTCTGTTTTGGTGCCTGCGATGAGTTTACTTAAGGGTAAGTCGCCTAACACCATGGTTAACCCAACAGTATTTTTGTAAATACGGTTAACTAAACCCTATTTTCGTAATTATTTAATTAATTAACATTAATACGGAAAAAAACTCGTCTAATTAAAGTATGAACATTTTATGAATTATATATTATACATATAATAGAAAATATTGAAAGTTCAAGAGGGGCCGTCCCCCCAATCCATCTCTTCTAATTATTGTTCTTATTATTACTATTACTATTGTTACTATTGTTACTATTATTATTACTATTATTATTATTATTATTATTATTTTCTTTTCTTGCATTTGACAGTTTGTCTCGTGATTTTTTCAACTCAAGACTTTTATCTGGTTAAAATCACAATTTTAATACTCCGTATTATTTTGCTAACAAAATTTGTCCCCCCTCCCCTCTAAAAGGATTAAATACATTTATAATCTTTACAAATATATGACACACTATCTTTTATATCTCTGCAAAGTTTTTTATATTGTAATATGCACTATTTTATTTTTAGTTCATCTCTTACTCCAAAAGCACACTATTTTGAAGAAAAAAATTGTTGATTGCGTAGTACTACAAGGTACCTTTTAAATTTATTCTTTCATAAATTTTTTTAGACTAAGTTGAGAGTTAAAACAACGTAAAATCAATTATTCACAATTTTAGAGTATATATTAATAACCTTCTTAAAAACAAAAATATTTTTTTTGAATAACATGGCAAAGAATGAGAGGAACACATTTTTCAGGATTCTTTCATTGTTTAAAGAGGTTGTTATCATCACTGGTAATATAAAATGAATGCATGAGTGAAAAAAAAAATTACAAAGATATAAAACAAAATGTAATGTGTTTACAAAGACTGCAAATATATTTAAACCTCTAAAGTTACCAATGTAAGTAAAATCGGTATTTTTAATTTTGGAATTTTGCTTCTTGTAAACTCGTGTTTTTTATCATCTATGGGTGTTTGGATCTGATTCTTAAAACTGCTCGTTCAGGGAGCAGAAGCAAAAGTCAGAGTGTTTGGGTGAAAATGCACTGCTCGTTCAGGGAGCAGAAGCAAAAGTCAGAGTGTTTGAGTGAAAATGCAGAAGTGATTCTGAATCTTTAATTTACTCCTAGAATCAGTTTTTTTGGAATCTGATGCGACCAGCTTCTGAAAACTGATTTTATTCCGCTTCTGCTTTATCTATATCACAAATAAAAATAATTGTATAAACTGTTCGTGTGTGAACCGGTTGTACAATACCAAAAACCAAGTTTGTTTTAATTTTGGCCCACAATCAACTGTAAACCAAGCCTTGGGCTGCTGCCTGCTCCCGTCTTCTCCGGCAGAGCGCACCCGCTATCTTCTGAAATTTTCAATATGAACTTATTACTGGTATTCAGTGGAGGACCTAAGGGGGGCTAGGTGGGGCACGTGCCCCCGCTTCGAACCCGGAATTTCACTAGTAGTACTTAGGATAAAAACGAGTGCCCGGCTTCATACCAGCATTTGATAATTAAGATACTAAAATGTTACGGTTATATAAATAAAAAATTAATACAAAATATTTAAATTTTAGTTGAATTAAACTAAAAGATATAGAATTATCAAAAAAACAAAAAATAATTAATAATTGAAAACAAAAAGTAACAAAAAATGTTAAAATGCAAAAAAGTAGCCAATGTGCAGGCAACTAAAAGTACGGAGTATTAAAAGTCTAAAAACCCACTAACATTTGGAAGACTAGAATGATAAAAGCCGAAGTTCTCCAATTTCTGTGAGTCAAAGCTACTCAACCTTGCGGAGTTATATTCATGCGATTTTTCATTTGTTGATCGAATGGACCTGAAAGAGGTGTGGATATATGAAATGAGAACAAATGAGTTATTTTATGCCGTACAAAAACTATTGGTGAAGTTTGTAAGAAGATGGTTGAGCTTAAAGTTCACAACTCTTTTCACTTGGTATATTGTCTGATTGAGTTGGCTTTAATGTTACCAGTTGCAACGGCCACCGTTGAAAGAGCCTTCTCTGCGATGAATATTATCAAGACAGATCTTCGCAATAAAATGAGATGTGACTATCTTACGGATTGTTTGGACAACATCGAGAGAGATGTTTTTAGAAGCATCAATAATGAAACTGTTATGCAACATTTTCAGAATATGAAAACTCGTAGGCCATTTAATACTCCCTCCGTTCTTTTTTATTAGTCCTTCTTTCCTTTTTGGGACGTGTTTTTTATTTGTCTCCTTTCCCTTTAAGGAAAGTTTTTGAGAAAATACCCTCACTTTTATTACTTTTATCCCACTTACTTTTTACAAACTACTTTCTCTTTCCTACTTTACCATCACTTTACTCTTCTTAATACACTCTCTTTCCTACTTTATCATCACTTTACTCTTTTTAATATACCATCTTTCCTACTTTATCATTTACCCTACACACTCTATACTTACCCTACTACTTTATTATTAAGTCCCGTGCCAAACCCTAAGGGGACTAATAAAAAAGAATGGAGGGAGTATGTAATTAACTATTCTGTATAATTTAATACGTTTTTTTTTATCATTTTTATTATATTTAGAGTTTTTATTATAGACTAATTTTTGTGTCTAGTGTGCCCCTGCTCTCACAAATCTCTGGGCCCGCCACTCCTGTTATTCATCTCCTCCATTTCTTATTTCTCTTTCATTTCACAAGTTTTACACTCGGAGACCTTTTCATTTGCGATAATGATATATAGGAGAAGGTAAAGATGCCGAAGAAGGACGCGGAGGGTACCAGTCCTTCGCCGCCGGAAACTCAGGTGTTTTGGATTGAGACTTCGAATTCCGTGTCTCGCCGCTTCCAGTTCGAAGCTGATGGTCAGCTATCTGTAAGCTAGCCTCTTCTGATGCTTTGTTGCCACGCCTTTTGTTTACTTGAGTTTCCTCAAGAAACTCAATCCCGCAACCGCTGCTGCTGCGGACATAGTATATACAGAGTTTCGTTTTACAATACTGTTTTACCTTGTTCAGGTAAATATTGTTGATGATTCTAGATCTATTGGGCAGAAAGTGGTTGAAACTTTTGTGAACAAATTTTTCCCCTCAGGATATCCATATAGGTGCGGCCATCTAATCCAAACTGGTGATTATGCTGGATGCATACTTTAATTTACTGCAAGGATAATCTCGCAGTAAGTATTTTTGGCAATTTTCTGATCAGAGTCTATTCATCGAAGTTATGCTGTGCTTGTGCTGCAGTGTGAATGAGGGTTATCTCAGATACACACAGTTCCGAGCATTACAACACTTCTCCAGTGCAGCTTTATCTGTTCTGTCAACTCAGGTATTATTCTAACTATGAAGCCAACAGCATAGCTTATCAACTTGTGTTTATTTGAAAGCATAACCTGATTTTATACTAATATTACGTCAGGGTAGATTTGTCAAAGGACATCTGTTAACTGAATATGGTGCCTGGACAAGTTTTACATCATGCTTATAACTGTGATTTCATCATATAGAATGAAAAATTATTGTTGAACAATGTCAATGTAACTTAGCTGTCTCCGTGAAATCTTACTTCGTTGCAGTCCTTACTATTTGCTGCAGGCTTAAGAGCTACACCTGCACAAGCAACTGCCGTGAGTTGGGTAAGATCTTAATATTTTCAAAAAACTAATCTAAATAAACTTCCAAAGGTACTTTCTTCTGAAACTGTTAATCTTTTATTTTTCATATGCAGATTCTCAAAGATGGGATGCAGCACGTGGGTAAGATTATTTGTAGCAACTTAGGTGCAAGGATGGACTCTGAGCCTAAAAGTTGGCGAGTTTTAGGTTCGTTGCCTTTCTATAGCTCCACATTCTTAAATATATTCGAATTGTCAGTATTTACTTCTACTTCATTATTCCATTTTATATGTATTTTGTTTGCATTGATCAATATCCTAATTTTGACATGGAATGCACTTTCTTCCTAACAGCTGATGTTCTCTATGACTTCGGCACTGGGTTAGAAGTTTTGTCTCCTTTATGTCCTCAGTTGTTTCTTCAGATGGCCAGCCTTGGAAATTTTGCAAAGGTAACAATGCGTTGGTATAAGGGAATCACTCATCATTTTCATTTACCCCAGTGCCGCAAAGGCTCCCACCTACGGTGGGGTAAGGGGGGGTCCGATGTACGCAGTCTTACCTCTTTACTAAAGCACAGAGAGACTGATTCAGGATGACCCATAGTGAAAATCACGTCCAAAATTGCATGGACGGACTGTTTCTTCATAACAAAGAAGCACAGCCAGTCTAGTGAGCCATTTTGCTTTATTCCATCATATAAGGGAATCACTCAATTTTATAAAAACAAATCTGCAATTTATTCCCAGCTCTTAGCTGCTGACTTACATTTGGCTATAAAATGTCTCATGAGCTTGTTTTCTTCTTCTCATTTTGTTTTCCTATACTCTATTGGTTCTTGCACTGCCTAAACTATAGAAAGCATACGTTGATTTGTACTCAAATTTGTGGATCTTCTACTCATTTCTTTGGTGTCTAAAGTTTCTTTTGGTAGTTTTTTACATTTTGTATTGCCAGGGAATGGCTGTTGTTGCAGCAAGAGCAACAAGGTTACCGATATATTCATCATTTGCAAAAGAAGGCAACCTTAGTGACCTTTTTGCAAAAGGTGAAGCTATATCCACAGTGTTTAATGTTCTTGGAATTGGCTTTGGAATTCAGTTAGCATCTACCATTTGTTCATCAACGCAAGGAAAGGTACAATTGTTTACCTTTAGCATTAATAAATGTATATTCGTTTTCTGCCTTGTGATACATATAAAACTTTGGATTCATTTTACTATTTTAGGTCTTTGTGACTTGTTCTCTTGCCCTGAAAATGTGATTTGATATGAATTTGAAACATCTTGTTTGGTCATCTTTCTAGTCTAGTCTTATCTAAATATTTCTCATCCATAATGTTTTTGGCCTGGTTCAATTATCTTGCTTGGAAGTTGGAATATAGCACATAGTTTGTTGACCTCATGATTTTTGGTCTGGTCAAGTCTAAATCATTCTAGGCAAGTTCTGGTCTGATTAAAAGAAGTATAGTGATGAGAACTTCACTTGTGTTGAAACCGAATGTGGAGAAAGTGGCTTACTCCGCATTATGGGACTATGCAGCTAACCTTGTTACCTCTTTTGGTGGTGGTGCAGATGGTTATTGGACCTCTACTAGCTGTCATACATATCAGCTGTGTCACTGAAGAAATGAAAGCTACACCGGTCAACACATTGAACCCGCAACGTACTGCACTGATTGTGAAAAACTTTGTGAAGGTTCATGCACAAGTCAGACATGTTGAGATATGTATGCATGCCTTCATTTTTAAACTAAAATTTAATTTATTCCAATTTCAACCAGACAGGAAAAATATGTAGCCCAGCTGACTTACGATATCAAGAGGATCTCTTATTTCCTGGACGGATAATAGAGGATGCTGGAAGCGTTAAGGTGGGAAGAAATCTGAGTAAAGTTGTTCGGCCTTCACATTTACGACAACTTAAAGAAGTTTTTCCTGAAGAAAAGTTTTTGCTGTGTCGTGGACCTAGATCTACGGACATGATATTGGAGCATAATGCTACAGGGGAAGACGCTCTGAGGGGATGGCTGGTTGCTGCATATGCTTCAGCAATGGAAAAACCATTTCATAATTCAAGTGAGAACTGCATGCAAGAGGCTTATGAGAAGATGAACAATGTTTTCATTCCATTTCTATGTGAGTTGCAGGCAAAAGGGTGGCATACTGACCAGTTTCTTGATGGTAGAGGAAGTCGCTTTAGCATTTAGTGTCATTCAATTTCAGGCTTGAATGATATGGGCATTACAATGAGTGTTTTTAATCCAAAGTCCATTTCTTTGATGGCAGCTAAAAAACATTTGGTTTCATTCAAATTCACTGGCTGTGAACAATGCCTTCTGACCCTATTTCCTAAATAGATTCTTATAAGTTTCTTCCACAAAATTGGCTGAGTTCAATTTTGCCAACTGAGAACTGACTGTGTCACTGTATGTTGCAAGTTGACTGTGCGTACATGTTTTCTAATCCGTGAATTGCCCATCGTTGTTTTGGAGTAAAGGGTCAAATTGGTCCTCAAAGTTGCATAAAAAGGGTCAAATAAGTCCTTATACAGGAGGCTCTGTCCGGTCGTCACCATTTGGGGCGGTTCCCGGTGGAATTTTTTGATGATTTTTTTTGAGAATCTTATTCATTAAGTCTAGTTTACTTATACCAAATTTCAGCTAAAACTTCAATCGGGAAGACATTCAAATGAATTCTTGATGATAACTGCGCTTTTAACTGCGCAATTATCTTCAAGACTTCATTTAAATGACTTCCTGATTGAAGTTTTAGCTGAAATTTGGTATGAGTAAACTAGACTTAATGAATGCGATGCTCAAAAATTTTCATCAAAAAATTCCACCGGGAACCGCCTCAAATGGCGACAGCCGGACATTAAGGACTTATTTGATCTTTTTTATGCAATTTCGAGGACCAATCTGACCATTTACTCCTTTGTTTTGCAATCTTCGATGAGAAAAGCTGGGCTTTGAAATTGGGATAGGGAAGGTCTTGATTTGAAGAAGAGAAAGGCCTTAAAGATTTGATTGGGCCTTAAAATTACATCTTATAAGAATATTTTTATTAAATTAACATTGATCCCTAACTGTTTTCCTAAATTACTCTCTACCCTACCTTTGTAATCCTCTATTCATTCTTCAGTGCACCGACTGCACTGCAGACTCTAGAATATACTTCGTATATACTTGGTAGAACTTAGTCGGGTCTGAGTTGGAACATACTGTTCCAGGCCGGGAACGTTTAACTTGGTTCCATAGTGTTCCTTGTTGAACCCAATCCAGCAGCATGCGTCTATACAGTTCAATAGCCCAACCCAAGGAGTCCAATATGTGGAAGTTGCACATTTCATAATGAGTTCTTATGTCATTTGGGTGATTGACATCTTAGGTATTATCATTTTATATTTTTATGTGATGCAGTGAATTAATAATATCTCATTAATTGAAGAGAATTGCACCTTTAAAAAAAAGAAGAGAATTGCAAAAAAAGGTAAAAAAATACGTATATTTGCTAAAAGGGGAGGATGATATCAGAGCCGGCTATAGGCCCAGTTAAGGTAGGCATTTGTCTAGGGCCTCTCATTTCTAGTGGCCTAAAAAATTAAAAAGATTAGTGTTATGAATAATTATAATTACGTTCTTTTTGTTCGGACTGAGCCAGGGAGAGGGATGTGAGTTTATTGTAAGGGCAGTTGCTCCCTCTCATCTGCACAAGATTCCTCCCTAGCCCTTCTCAAACTGCCCTTTCTTCCTTGCAATAAAGAAACTATAGAAAAGAAAATCAACAAAAAACCGTTTCCATACATCCATAGTACTTACGAAAAGTCACTGATGAGATCAAGCTCATGAACTGCCGTTTGTACGTAGAATTAGAAATGGAAAGACTTGGCAATCAATACCGAAACAACCATTAATAAAAATGCCCAAATCCCTTCCTATTCCTAAATCTTAATTGGCAGTGACTCAATGAAGTTAAGCCAGCTACCAGACCATACTAAGAGGAATAGAGAAACGTTGGTGCATCAATGCGGCAACACCAACTGGCGAGCCGGACGACGCAACCACCCGCTGCTGCCTTATGCTATTCTTCCCTTGCCAGAGTTTAGTTATATTATTAGTCTTATTAGCCTTAAACTTTAGCTTTTTTGTTGACTCATTTGTTTGTGTTTTTTTGTTAATTAAACTCTCTATTTAGTATTTTCATGAAGGACAAATCAAAGACTTATGATATATAAAAAGAAAAGAATTAGTTGACAATGATAATACAAACGTTCATTATGATAGTGAGGATAATGATTCAAACGAGAATGTCAATAATCTTAGTGACCACTTAATTGTTGTTAGTGATTTGAATGAGTTAAAAATTTTGTTTCTCATTTTTAATATTTTATATTATAGAAAATAAATCGATAGAATTTGTTAATATAAAGTGAGTTTTTGCCCGGGGCCTCTATAGTGCTCAAGCCGCCCCTCGATGATATAAATAGAAATCTTTAAAAGAAATAAAATGTAAATTAAAACTTTGTTTTTTTAAAGAAAAACCATATCCAATTAAATCAAAGAGTCATCTGCCAACTGGCTACATATGCAATCAGGAACTGAATGAAAAATAACTCTACCATCCGCATATGAAAGGCTAGCCCTTGCTAACGTGTGAGCTACGCTATTTGCGGATCGTTTACAATAACTAACAGAATAATTCGCTTCATCCTCAAGCAGAATTCTAATATCCTCAACAATAAGGTAAAGATAAGAAGCTCTGCTATCTCCTGAAACTCTCATAGTAACAAGAAGAGCGTCCATCTCAATAATCACTCGAGACAAAGTTGCTTCGCTCGCAAAATTGCTTCCCGAATAGCCATGACCTCCGTTGTAAAAGAAGACAAAGTAGTTTTGCATGTCTCGCTGCTCGCACATAGGAAGTTCCCCCCTTCGTCTCGAGCTACCTAGCCCCATGATCTTTTACCTCGCCCCTGATCCAAAGCTCTGTCAACGTTGACTTTAACTTTGGTCTATTTCGTAAACAGTCTCTCCTGTCATCCATGTGTATGTAGAAAGACGCCAACACAAAGAATTATAAACAACGAAACATTCAAGTAACTCAAACCAACCATTTGAATGTTATAAATAGCAACAGAAAAAAAAACCAAAATCAAATTGTTTTCAGAGCTATCAAACGGGCCAACCCGCCCCGACCCGCGGCGGGTTATGAGTTTCACGGGTCGGGGGGGCCAACCCGTTTACTGTCGGGCCAGAGTTTTTGTGACCCTGACCCAGTCCACCTACCCCACAGGTTTTGCAGGCCAACCCGCGGGCCACCAATGTCAAAACAAAAAATAAATAAATATCTAAATTAAAATCCAAAGACAACTAAAGTAATACTCCCTCCGTTCCGAAAAGGTTCGCCAAATTAACTTTTCTTGATCAATGATAATCAACTTTAATCAATGATATTTTTATATGATATTATTTTGAATATGAAAATTATACAAAAAAATATATTCCTTATTAAAAATATTTTCATAAAAGTATAAAACTTATATAAATTATAAACAAATATAATAACCAAAATCATTGTCCAAAGTTTGTCATCTTTGATCAAGAAAAATCAATATGGTGAACCTTTTCGGGATGGAGGCAATAAGATATATGACTGTCATTGACTTCATCACTCTGTAAGTCCAAAAAGCTGTCGAGAAGTAAAAACGCAAACATCATTACAAATGTTTTAAAAATGTAAGATTGTAGAAGAGAACTAATATAATTGGGTCTACCGATTGTTTGTTCGGCTCTATACAACTTCTCCCAGACTCCTAAAGAGACTCTTAATTATTTGGTGTCTCTTCATCTCCTTGGTGACCTTTCATTTGTTCGGCACTTTACCGCGGTCTGTCTGGATTTTACTCCCCTCTGTGCTATGTAGTCAATATAGACAAATAGATATATAGTCTGTCTGGAGTATTTGTCTTCAGCCCGCGAGTTGGCCCGCAACCCGTTAGGGTTGACCCACAAAGCCCACGAAATAATCGGGCCTGAAAAAATGATAACCCTAACCCACTTATAAGTGGGTTGAAACGGGCCAACCCGCGGGTTTCGGCCCGTTTTGACGGCTCTAACTGTTTTCACTTTTCAGTCTATGTGTATTTTACAACTATCAAAATCTAGTCTAGTCTAGTCTATTTAAATCTAATTTGGTGTAATCTGTTTAAGTTTTGTCTGATCTGGTCTGTGACTGAAAACAATTCAAGTAAAAACATTCTTAGTTAGTGAAAAGATCATTTAAACGAGTTATATGGAGTCACGCCCTTAACTTTTTTTCGCAAGCTTAAAACAAATATTTTAAGGACACATCAATGTGACACTCCCAAGGAAGAGGTCACTAGTTCGAAAATCATCCAAGTTAAGGATATTGATAATTAACATTGAACAAATGCTATAATAAACTAGAAAGTTCAGTCAAAAAACGAGTCATTGAACTTCCTCTAAAAACTAGTACTTCCATCATGGCTTAAGATTCTCATTACAAAAAGACATAATTATTTAGACAAAAATTAAATAAGATAATCAAGTATATTTTGAGAAATAATTTTGATGGATATATAATATAATGAGGTCATTAATGATAATTGTGATATTATAGATATACGGAGTAGTATTTTTAACATTTGATGGTTATATTATCATTTAAAAATGCAAATTATTACCTAAAATGGAATTAAGACCCTTTAAGAGAGACGTCCAAAAGGGGGAAATGAAACTCTTAAGTTGAGACGAAGGGAGTATGAAAGTGAGTGGTCATGATAATATGGAAAAATCGCACATTTCGTCCCCCAGACCAATTAGCCACCATAGTGAAATCCCATACTCGTGTTTCAGGCTTTCAGCGTTTTTAAATGTCACTCCTGATTTGTTAGAATAATTTTCAATGTCACCCCCGTCGTTATAAATATCACAAACGTCGCCTCTCTTTCCAATTTTTCAGGGTTAAACATGTAACTTCGCATCCTTTTCGTTTAAAGCACTAAATCGAATGAAAACCAAACTTTGTCTGTTGCTTGGGAATCAAAAGCTCTTCAGCCGTTCTACCTTCATTCGCCTTGAATCAAAAGCTCTCTTCCTTCGTCCGTTCTTCAGTCGTTTGGAGTTTTGAAGAGCTCTCTTCCTTCGTCCGTTCTTCGTCTTCAGGCGCGTACATATATTTCAAGTATTTCAAGTACGCAACTAACAGATTTTTGTTCAAATGTGTTAGTTTCATTTCTATACTTGAAATTTTTTAAGAGAGCTCTTTAAAACTCCAAACGGCTGAAGAACAGACGAAAGAAGAGAGCTTTTGATTCAAGGCGAAGGAAGAACGGCTGAAGAGCTTTTGATTCCCAAGCAACATATGAAGTTTAGTTTTTATTCGATTCAGGGCTTTAAACGTACAAGGATGGGAAGTTACATGTGTAACTCTGAAAAATTGAAAAGACA